CAGTGAGGAAGGCAGCAGAGATAAAATTAAGCCCTTAATTTGTTTTGCATTTTCCCTCACAACTTATATGGCTAGGAGACTGTGACTGCATTCTGCTGAACAAGACTCCCTGTGTCTGTGACTGGCTGAAATGTGTTTTATATACCAAAGATGTAAACAAATAGCTCAATGAGAGTCCTTATTAAACCACAAAGAGAGACAATGCAAACACATTAAAGCTTTGTTACACAAACACAAAATACAAGAAGGTTCAGAGCTAAGAGATGGGAAACTTGATCTTAACTCTTCCCTGCACAGTGTAATTCACTGCCTTCAAAGGCACAGCTGTTCTACTCACCCGGGGCCCACACGTATCTGTAACTCCCTATCTGTAACTCAGGAGAAAAGCTTGCAACAAAATGTCATTACCCCCCTACTCTGTCCTTGTCCTGGAGACACTGCAGGTCTGGCTAAGAAAGATCATTACAGTACAAGACATCAATATCAGTCAGTGTAAGTATATCGGAGGGGGTTAAATAAAGAGTTTTAGCTGATTATTTTTACAATATAAGTCTGACTATATAGAACGATACTATTAAAATGTTTCACTTATGTACTGCAGACTCCAATCCCAAGCTACAATAGTTTTGGTTGATTATAGATAGTTAAGCCCTGTTTTCCATCTTCTTTTCTCATTTTAAAACTTTCTGTTTAAGAAGTGTCTGTTTTCTAACGCAACATATTTAGAATATACCAAGATAAACGATGGGGTCTCCACTTGAGAAAACGTCTTTTAGCATGTTTGTTTTTTCAAAGAGGATCATTAGGAAGTTACAGAGTGAGGTGATGTGATTTAGCCACAGATTTCTGTTAGTTCATTGTTCTTTAGAGAGGTCTGCTTAACAGAAGCTGCAAAGTAATCTGTCGCTGAAACAGCATTCAAAAACAGAGTTGCCAGTACCTTAGCCCTGCCAAAAATTCCATTACAGCATTGTAGTTTCCCATATTCCAGCAGCATTTTGCCACATGTACTAAATATGAGAAGACTTCTCGTTTCTCCTCCATAGAACCTGCAGTCAGGATCAGCCAGGTAACCCATGAGCTCACCTTGTAAAACAAAATGGACAAGGACAATCAGCCAAAGTAATAATATTTGGAACATTCATGCATTTCTTTTTTTTCCTTCCGTCAGAAGGATATCAGTCAAATTCTGCTCACACACACATGGCAGAATCACATATGCATTACAAACACAACTTACACATAGACATACACACATTCCTACGCTTGAATCATTAACTAGTCTGAAAATACTTAGTTTTAACAAAAAACTACTGTATATTAATATCCAATATTCTGAATATACATTCTGATCACTGAAGAAGATGGGCAGCTTAGGCTAACGCTGATTTCTAAAGCTGCCAGAGTGATCTGCAGTGCCAATTCTCATTAACATAGATCAAAAATCTCAGGCTCATCCTAAGGAAACAAAGTAATCTTTGTTCTTACAACAGGGACAGTGAAAGCTGATAAATTATAATTTCTGGCTTTGCTTAAGTTCACTAAACTGATAAGTGAATACACTTAATGTATAAATTTGCTAAGCCCTACATGCACTGAACATTTAAAATAATTCATGTTACCTCTCATGAATGAAGTATAAAACTCTCACATTCCTAAGTGTGACCATACCGCCAACTTCCGTCTGATGATTACTGACAGAATCAGAAATCAACTCAGTACATGATTCTGTTCATATTAAAAACAAACAAACAAACAAACCAACCAACCAAACAAACTTCATTTTACCAGTGTATAAATTTTCCAGTTTCTGTTCCCACAACATCCATACAAAGTATCTGTACTTCACATGGACACTTAATTTAAACCAACTGTTCCTTTTTACAAAATGATTCCCTGGAGCCTGATTTTTGTCACTGTATAAACACTTACAAAGCAATAAACGCAATTTGTTTACTGACACCAAGTTCCATTCTTTGGTCCTGAAGGATTCAAGTGTTTATAAGCATCACTGGTGTGAGGAGAGGCTTATAAAAATTAGAAAATGTTGTTTTCCCTCTCATGGGGGATAGCCTGTTTCATTTTAAAGAACAAGCACAAGAATTAAAATAAAAATGTGTTAGTACTAATTGGAAAAAAAAAAAAAAAGCACTAAAATCATTCTGTATCCCATCCAGTGAAGATGCCCTCAGAGTGTGTACCACAGAGATGCGGTCACTCTGACAAGATGTGAGGCTCAGGAGACAAAGGATCCATATGAAATAACGTTCAAACTACTCATTGCTGCATCACACAGGGCTCAGATAAGGGTAAACACAGAATAAAATGAAATAAAGCAAATACTCAAAAAAAAAAAAAAGAAGTTGTGAAACAAAACAGTTAAATCCATGAGCCAAGACTGGCATAATTTGTGTTTGTTGGAATATTACTTATTTTTTTGGATATTACTCCTGTCTGCCAGAAACAGCTTTGTTAGAGAATACAACTGCTGAACATGCAATCTCACAGAAAATAATCAATATTTGCATCATATGAAATACTAAGCATGGCAATGACAGTTTAACTGATAGGGATTTAAATACTTTACAGGACAATATAATTTCAAACAGATTTGTTTTCATCTAATGTAGTGAAGATGCAATGGTTGGGGGGAAATAGTAGCAAAATTGATAAAGAATGGCTAAAAAGGCAACTGAATTCAGACTCCCCACTAAGAAGCACCCTTGAAACTAGGACAGTCGCTTGTTGAAATTCTATTCAATAGAGAGCTTAGAATTGTTATAAACAGTTATGATGAACTCTTACAAGCACTCTGTAAAAGCAAACAGAAAATGATAAAAGTCAGCATGAAGAAGGCCTTTGCAGCCTCGAGATGGCATATGTATATATAACAGCGAAATACGGGTGCAAAAGGCAGTAGTCTCCCATGAAGCTGATCTTCCGTCCTTCTGCTGGACAAGAATAGACTTGAAGAGCAGAAGGCATTTTTTAAACCTTTCACTAAACAAGAAGGAAAGTAGTGTCTGAATCTCTAAGCTATGAAACAGAGCAGGCAAAGGAAGATCTAACGGCTCAGACAGAATCAAAAGACAGAAGAACTGAGCATCCAAGGATACTACTACCCACCATCTGAAAATAAAGAACATGCCTGCTTTAGAAACTTACTTCTAAATTTTCCTATTTCCTGGTTCTCTGAGATTAGAAAAAATTTGAGGAGCACATTGTGATACTTCAGTCAGACGCAGGTAATGGAAAATTTCATTCATATTATTTTATGTATGAATGAAGGAATGAAACAGAATTGTTCCCCTGCATATGTTCATAAGTAGCTCCCCAGTGCATCCCTGCTGGACAACCTCTGCTTTAAGTGGTCCTTTTGTCCCAGTCAGGTCTTGTCCTCCAGACAGAGCTAATTAAGAATTGAAAATACTGCTTGGTTGCAAGAGGTATTTTCTTCTGTTCTGTCACAGGCTTCAGCTTTACAGACTCTTTTGCATGTCATATCTAGCAGCAGCCAGGAGTATAAACTGCCTTTTCTGGTGTTTCTGAATAGCATCAGCTCTCCATGAAGATTTTCTATGAATTATTAAGAGAACTGTCAGTTAATTAGTCTGAACGGATCACTCTTTCCCCCAGAAAGGAGGATTATGGATTTCTCAAAAAGCGTATTAGCCTCCAAAATGTATTTATTAGAAGCCATAAAGATTTGCGCTTTTTAGGCAGGTTGCATCAGTCTGGGATTCAAATACAGCTCATTAAAAGGCAACAGCCATGTCACAGAGGAGGTAATAGAAGAAAGGAGCCGTGAACAAGGGCACTTTGCTTCAGACAGGTTTTCGCTGAGTGCTGTGCCTAACGTCTGCAACAACTTCCCTACTCCTAACTTAGTGAAGACAGCCGGAAAGGGAAGAGAATTCAGTCAGTCAGTTAACAGAGCTGAGGGCCATTTCCCCAAAATTAAATGTGGTCCTGGAGCCTAGCAGGAAAAAAACAGAATTAATGAGCCAAACTAGTAGTTACCCATTTAAAATGCAACGGGGAATTTTTCTCATGGAAGTTTTGAAGGTGGGAGATCTGGCTGAATCAGTCAGCTTTAAAGGAGCGGAAAAAATAAGCAGAACCTCAGCTGACTGAAATCAGCTCCCAGCTCCTTAAAGTTTTTATTTTGTCCAGGCAGACTGAACTAATGGATCCAAGAACTTTATCAACAAGAACAATATTCTAAAGCTCTTAAATAAATGCATACTGAAATAGCTTGGTTATGGTATTAATTTGAGGTGATTATTCATAATGACTACAGCTATAACCAACCACATGCAAACACCACTGAAATGCAGGTAGCTGAAATGACTGAGTTGTTTAGGAAACATCACGTGTGACAGCTTACAGGAAACAAGTATATTAATTAAAACATAGGAAGAATAAACAGTACTCAATAAAAATATTCTTATGTGATTTATTGAGCAATACATTAGCAGTCCAGGATACGTCCTCAAAGGTATGCCTCTGTAGGAATCACTGACATTTCTCAAATGGCGTTCTGGCTGCCACTGGATCCTAAATACACCTGATAACGCACATACTATATTTTTGCTGCCTAGTGTGCACAAAGCTCCCTTTGCATAGAAGGTATGTGAGAACTAGTGAGCTTTTTAGGACCTTCATTCGAATGCAAGTCCAGAAGTGAGAGTCCTAAGATGTGGTCTGGGCACACCTGAGCTCGATGCAGCTCACAAAAGAAAGAACAAATCTCTATATGTATGTATGTATTGGTGGCTATGGAAATCACCTGGAAGATGTATTCAAAACGCTACTGTGTTTTGAAACAAACTGTGGTTCTTACCACTTTGGCAAGTGAGTACCACAGATACTATTCTGCACACTCTCTCCCCAAAACCAAGCGTGATCTCTAACTCCAAGACGCGGCTTCCACAGTGGGTCATGTGCAAAAGGAGGCTCCTTCCCAGCTAGCAGCGGGCACTGACTTCTTGACATTTCAGCTATGTGGATACAGAACAGGCACTTCCTTTTCCTGCATTTCAGTAGTGGATGGCTTCGAGAGCTATCTCCTCAGCTGCATTCCACTTGAGGACCACCCAGCCTGAGAACGAAATGCCACCAGGTAGCAAGCTGCTAGGTATCAGACTGCAACTACAGCAATGCGATGGCTTCGCCTCTTTGGCAATGCCCGAACAAACTAGCTCCAGAAACAGTGTGCTCAAGTAGCCTTGCCAAGAAGTTCAAAACATTCAGCAAGTATTCCTCAGAACCATCAGTGACACTTTTTCAATCAAGTTTTTGTGTTAGATACCACTTCAGCTACAAATCATAATCTGCATATGGACATTTTAAGTATGATTTCCTTAGTTTACTTTTTTTCACGCTCTACATACATAGCTCTGTTTATGTAACTCTGATTTTAAACTCTCTTTACAATAGAAATCACAGTAAACCTGTAATTAGATTTCCGCTGCACTGCTGATGAGTTTGAAAAGTTTAAGAAAATGTATCCTGGCTCTACTATAATCCACATGACAGCAAGACACAAGAAGGTCATAAACTGAAATACAATCCACTCAAATAAGTTGATAACAAAATTCATCTTTTCATTCAGATGGATGAAAATGAACGTCTTTTGGGATTACTGCATACAAATATTAGGAAATAAACAAATGAAATAGATACTTAGTTAAGATATAAATACTTTTTTCTTGTGCTCTAACACAGAGAAGTACTGACAACTTTGTGCCAAATTTCAGCCATGCTGTAAAGAATATGAAACTTCATTTGGAATTTTTCAGAGTGACAAGAGCCTCCTTTAAATACCTATTCTAAGCACAACAGGGTCTGTATCAGCTGTCCAAGCGAAGAAAACAGTAGCTGCACAATGGTCTTAAGCATTTGTAACGACTTGTAGAGTTTTAGCTTTTTGAGATTATCTTTTTATATCACCTCTTACAATTTAACTGCACTAAAACCTTTGTAATAGACTTTTCACTAGGTGTTTGGGCTTATATCACTTTACTCAAAGTTTTCAGATAAGTTCAAGTTAAATATTGCTAATGCATTTTGGAAAGGCAAAATTA